GCACTCTACCACTTGAGCTACAGCGCCACTCCCGGTTTTCTGGTGGTTTTATTGGAGATAGGAGTCTCACGGTCTCTCCTGCCTGGGCTGGCTTTGAACCGCGATCCTCAGATCTCAGTTTCCTGAGTAGCTAGGATTACAGCGCCCAGCTCCATTTTTTTTCCCCCAGGGCTGAGGACCGAACCCAGGGCCTTGTGCACGCCGGGCGGGCGCCTTTCCGCTGGGCTAAACCCCCAGCCCAACTCCATTTTTTTTTAACCTCCACTATATTAACCTTTTTTTTTGAGACCCCCCCCCCGTCCCCCTCATCACCTTGGTACTCTAGAAGGACAGAATTAATAGATAAATATCTTGTGACAAAAGTTGAAACTCAAGCTGGAGGTGTGGCTCAAGTGGTAGAACACCAGCCTTGAGTGAGAAAATTGATCTTGAGGCCCTGACTTCAAGCCCTAGTGGTGGGGAAAAAAAAGTAAAAAACTGGAACTTCAATAATGCTTGGATTTTTTTTGTCTGTGGGTGTGGGTGTACCAGTTTGAGGGCTTGCATTTAGGGTTTAGGCACTGTCCCTGAGCTTTTTTGCTCAAGACTAATACACTACCACTAAAGCCACAGCTTCACTTTTGCATTTTTGGTGGTTAATTGTTGATAAAAGTCTCATGGACTTTCCTGCCCTGGCAGACTTCCAACAACCATCCTGAGATCTCAGCCCACAGAGCAGCTGGGATTACAGGCCTGAGCCACAGGTACCTAGCAGCTATGCTTTTTTGCTGATTCCCAGACTGATACCCATTTCTTATTGTGCCCAGAGTTGGCCCCACCCTCTTAGAGTGGAGATCCAGTAATTATATATACCTCTCAACCTGTCTCCAACCTTTCCTCTACTTACATCAAAAGTCTGAGTGCCAGGCGCTGGTGGCTCACACCTGTAATCCTAGCGACACAGGAGGCTGAGATCTGAGGATCACAGTTCAAAGTCAGCCTGGGCAAGAAAGTCCATAAGACTCTTATCTCCAATAAACCACTAGAAAACCAGAAGTGCCGCTGTGGCTCAAGCAGTAGAGCGCTCACCTTGAGCTGAAGAATGCAGGGGCAGTGCCCAAACCGAGTTCAAGCCCCATGACCGAAAAAAAAAAAAAAAAAAACAGCCCCTAGACCAAGCAAGATAACTGAGTCAGGAATTTAACCCCTTACTGGGAACTCAGGAATTTAACCACTTACTGGGAACTGAGGAATGCAATAACCTCTTACCAGGAACTGAGGAATGCAATACATCGTAAAAAGTCCCCTGTTTCAAAAAAGTTGATTTTGTCATATTACTAGAACTTTGCAGCTTGTATCTGCTTGTGATTTTTGCCTTCTTCTTTTTTTTTTTTTT